GCCGACTCACACATTTTGTCACAAATTTATTAGCGAATTTCCGGCGAATAATAATATGAGAATAAAAAAATCGTTTGGAATTGCGCTTTAAGCTCTCATATTTGTAATTTTAATAAAGATACAATACAAAAAATAAAATGCCATCCATTCTGATATATTGCATTAGTTTTGCCTACCATTTTTAATTTGAAAATGATGAGGAAGTGGTTTTCTCTTGCCTTCTTAACGGTTTTGAACCCAGAGTTGTAGCCTTAGCCTGGCTGTCATCCAAGGCTAGAGAACATTGTCTGTTTTGTTATTTAATGCATGGCATAGTGGTAGTGGTGGTGTGTGTGTGTGTGCGCGTGTGGGGGGTATTCATACCTTTCCCAAGGGCATTAGTGAAAGAGTTAAATGCAATACCGTTAACACACTATTCCCACATCTCGAAATACACTGTTCTAACGTAGGTAACATAAACAAATCCACAATGCAATATACTTATAAAATCCGAGTCATTCAATTCTGACAGTTGTTTGTAATGTATGTGGTTAACATGCTTGTATGATTGACTTATGCACACACCATATCTGAAGCACTAATTGTAGTGATAGAAACAAAATGTAATTAAATAGATTTTTTGGTGGGAGAGGAGAAGAACGTCAAATAATTAAAAAAATCATTTCATCCCAAGCAAGGCAGTAATGCCACTAGTATACAAGGGGTTACAAGGAGTGAAAGAGAAGACTGAGAATAGGGAGGATTGAGGAAAGGATGAAAGATGAATGATGATTCAAGGCAAGATGGTGATTAATGTTGCATTTAATTTTTGAAGATTGCTGTTGCAACATCAGTAAAATGGTGGGACCTAGAAGCCAACCTAGTAGCATGCTTAAATTCATGTAGTGAGGGCACCAGGGAAAAAATCTCGTCAGAGCAGTTGCCATGAAATTATTTCTAGAAAAGAGGGAAGCCACGCCACATTGATGAGAAAGTGACTAAAATCAAGATGTCTGTCAAGAACTTCAAGATGACTGGCAGGAGCAGCAGACCATTTGTGTTCATGCAAATGTGAAGACTAAATGATTGACTAATCGACCATGTGAATCAAAAGATAATAATTTCCTGATGTATATGCTATATTATTCATTTTTATTTATTTTTACGAAATGTAGTGTTAAAAGAGACTGTCATCATTTAATTCCGGCTGTATCATCTTAGTTTTTTCAATAATTACGATTTTCTAACTCAAAAACATATTTTGATGCATAAAATGTTAAAATAGCATTATTCCATCAAAATTTAGCTCAAACACAGATTCATACTACTTTAAATGGCGACCATCCCTAAAAATGGCAGCCATTTTGTTTTTCAACATGGGTAACATACTTTTCTGAGAGAATAGGTCCTGGAGCTCATGTATACCAAATTTGGTGCTTGTACCACCAATTGAAAGATTATTTCCGTAATCTGAGCACCAAGGACGAATTGTAGATTTAGATATGACAATAGTCAAGATAACAAATTCTAAATAAATTTCTATCGGGTTGAAAAAAAAAAAACAAGAATCAACAATTGTAATAACAAAATGTACACCGATTTTGATCTGTTCGCCGGCATTGATGTATTTCTTTTAGTAAACAATTGTTCAGTTTTATAAACTGAGATTCCTATGACCAATGAATGCATTATTTTTTTTTTTTTTTTAAGTGAAATATCGTTTCATAGGAGATAAAAAAAACTTTCCTGGCAACAAGTAAAAATTACTTAACTGTTATGTCAAGCAGTGTTTGTTGAGAGTGTGGATCTTTTTGCATGTTAGACCTAAGAGGTAAAAGATGAGTATTCAGTTTGTTCTCTTTTTGTCTCATGTTGGCTGAGGAAGTTATGTACGGCATTTCTGATTGGTTTCTTGCTATTTCAAGATTAGCAGTTCTTTATGTCTCTTGTGTGGTTGGTGGAAATTTGCTTCAGTAGCAATCAGTCTAAAAGGATGACGGAATTCAAAACCAGCCTGGAAAAAGATGGGCTTCATCGGGCTTTCTTGCCCTAGACACATAACTGCTACAGTACATGTAGTGTCCTTACAACACCAATGGGTTATGAGTTAAAAAGCTCATGAAAATAGTTCATCTGGAAAAAAAAAAAAAAAAAAAAAAAGAAAGTATTTTACAAAATCAAGTTTTGTCATTTCAACACCGCAACCCAGTGGTTGATCCTAGGTCAGCCTGGTCATCAGTGATCAGACAATCCGACCGATAACATCAAGTCACCTTCTTGACAAATCAACCATGTTGAGATCCGAACCCAGGTCTCATGGTCGGAAATAAAATATTCTAACCACATGCCCGTAGTCAAGAGTAGATTGCTACGAAAAGAGGAAGAGGCTTTTCTTTTAAAAGTTTTCTGATTTTTCAGCAACTTTCTCATTTCTACGGGAACTTCTGTTCATTCTTTTTTCCTCCTAATCCTTTATACATCCCATAATATGTTGCTCTAAGACATCATCGTATTAGAGACTTGTCTGGAGACTTGATACCAAGGATGAAATTTTAATAAATGCATGCACATAATCAAACATTTTAAATACTCTTGGGAAAGGCACGACTCCATCTCTTTGCACAGCTATGGTTAATATTATTAAGAATTATTATTATATGTTCTTTGTATTATGTCTCTTCAAGACAATTTCATGTCCTTTGTATCTCATTTGAGATTTTGTCTTTTTTGCTATCTCTCCTAATCCCTGTTCTGTCAACCATTTGCTCAATATCACACTTTTTCTTTTATGTACCGTGTCCTTTCAGGATGTTGACAATCATGGCTCTCCACAATTTCCCGTCCTTTGTAGGTCTTAGAAGATTTTGTTTTTTTTCCTATCTCCCTAAATCCCTGTTCTGCCAACCATTTAGTCAATATTGTCCTTTTTCTTATTTGTGTAGTGTTCTTTCAGGACATTGGCAATCATGGCTCTTACAGTTATATCGAGCCATTTCAACTGTTTAAAATGATGAAACCTTGCTGTCAATTTAGCACTGCACTTAAATTCATAGAGTCTAGGTACCATAGAGAAAAGTTCATAAGAAAAATTGACTTTAAAGTATTTATAAAAAGACAGGGAAGTTATGTTATGATGACAGGATCATTTTTTTCCCCCTCCTAATCCTTTATACATCCCATAATATGTTGCTTTAAGACATCATCATATTAGAGACAACTGGTAGAAAAGATAAAAGTTCAGTTATTGTCTAGAGACTTGATACAAAGGATGAAATTTTAACTGGATGTACAGAATGAGACATCGGTGTCCCAGAATTAACTATTTCAATGAAATTGGAGAAATTTAAAAAAAAAAAAAAAAAGACAATTTTATGATTATTACTTATGATACAAAACAAGTTGATTTATAAACCTAATGTCAAAACTTTACTGGAAATTTTCAACATTTGCTCCGGCTGTATCCCAGCAAATTTCAAATCTATCCTTAACATGACTGAATATTTTCTTTCAGCTCAGCTCTAAACTATTTATCTTTCAGCGATAATTCTTTGTTTTTATGAAAAGAAATCTGCATTCTTGTGTTCATTATTAACAGGATTTTGAAAGGGAATGAAAATAAAATTAAAGTTATAAAAATCAGAAATTTATACACATCTAACAAATATTAACAGAATTAAAAGTGAGTTTTTAAAAATATTGTCCGATTTGACTGAAATTGGATAGTTAATTCTGGGACACTGTATAATTAAATATTAAACCAACTCAACTTTAAAAAGATCAGAGTAAAAAGACTCAAACTATTAACCTGACTTCCTTTAATCATCATCCCTTCGCTTAATTTTATTCTTTGTTCCTCTTTATCCTTTATATGATAGTTTTCTAAAGTGGGGTGTGCAGGGCACTATGGGTTTGTGAGGCCCAGCCCCACAAACCTTTCTATTATTTGTTTCATGTTATAATGAAGACTGTGCAATGACCCCAAAAGATAGAAAAATATTTTGAACTCAAAATAAACTTTTCAACATAAACAGGCAGAAAAAAAAGGAAAGAAAAGTTGAAGATAAATTTCTTTATTCCCCAAACACAAGTTGTGTGTTTAAGAGGGAGCAGTAAGTCTGGTGCCAGGGTTCTGAATCAGCGATACAGGGTCCCCCAAATCTGCATCTCAATTTTCTAAATATAAATCAGACATGTCACAATAGATCATTCCATCATAAATAAATTGTTTTGTGGCAATTTGTAATTAACACATCCAACCAAAATAGTGACTTCTATGTAATGTACTTTCAAGACTTAGCATAAGCAAAACAAATTCAGATTTGAACCCCCACCAAAAAAAAACCCCAAGAACTGCAAAAAGTTTTCACCCTTTAATAGCCAGTTATGTTTAGTTGAATTTGTAACATATATGAATGTAGGTAGAAAAAACAAAATATTGTAAGGTAGCAAGGGTCACCAAGCACTGCCTATAATCTAATGCCGTAAAATTTAGGGCTAGTTGCACTGGCTCATTTCAATAGACTATGTGTTAAAAATTTAAATAAGACTTTTGGATTGACCCAAAGAATTCATGATTTATAACTTCAGCTTTTGTAAAATGTGTATTTAAAAAAATAAACTTTCAGAATTCTGAAGACCCTCCCACCTCCACAAGAATTCCAATTTTTGTTGGGTTATTATTCACTTATGTGTAAAACCCTTGAAAAGGGCTTTTTGCATACAAGCTTTCTTACTTCTTGTAAGGACTAACAGTAATACATTTAATGAACTCCATTATGCAAAGGACATCAGAGGCTTGTTTTTGCATTTAACATCAAATGTTTGGTTATAGTAGGTTCATACCACTTTTCAATAATTTCATTTTTGAAAGGAACAAATTGTCAATCATTTCAAACAGTTGCTCTTACCTTGGTTGTCATAGACAGTTTAGTATGTTCTGTCCATCCTCAGGTGTTCATTGTTTGGCTGATATTGGTTGTGTTATTTTGTCTCTGTAGTGCTCTCCTTGAACCAGTGATTCATTACTTGACATTGAAGTTAAAGTGCTGAGTCTTCTGAAGAGGAGAGAAAGAGAGAGAGGAGAGAAAGAGAGAGAAAAAAGAGAAAGAGAGAGAAAAAAGAGAAAGAGGGGAGAGAGAGGAGAATTCCTTCTGAAAGGTATCATGTTAATATTAACAACACAAAAAGAAACAAAAAAGTAATGTAAATTTAGGTTCAACCATCTTTATTTTCAAATTTCCAAGCCATGTAATGTGATTAGCATTTCACAATGGGCATCTCACATATTAAACATGTGAATAAAATGAGAAAAGACAAAGAAAAAAGATGGTGTAGTCAGCATTTCTATATATATATATATATATAAAAAAATAAAAACAAAATTAAAAAAAAAATGCTACCATTTAACAATATTGCAACAGTTAAATAATTATTTCACTTCACAGTTGAATGGCGATGTGTGCGTCTTAGCACGGCTAAGTGGCCCGTGTGATACTCAAATGGAATTGTTTTTTTTTTTGTTTTTTTTTTATCACAGGTTCTTCTTTTTAATTAGGTTTGTCATCATTGTATCATACTGCCACACTGTAAAGCCTATGCTTGTAAATATGTCCTGTAAAAGGTGAGGAGAGATGGGGGTGGGGAATGTGAAGAATGAAAAAAAAAAAAAAAAAAAAAAAACAGCAGTAAAAATCATTGAATAAAGGCCCTAATTAAAGCCCCCTTTTGGACTAAATCATCTTTTGGAAGACAGGAGTGTATTTTTTAATTATTAAATTCAAATAGGTTTAAATGTTATGAGAAAAGATCCAGGTAAAAACCAAAAACAAAAGAAAGAGACAAAGACGAACGAGAAAGGTGATGCCATAAAATACACATTTAATAATTGTGTGGTTCTCAGTAAACCCAACATGAATGAGGATTTTAGCTGCTATAAAAGAATGATAGAGATACTATCAAACAGGAGCCACTATAGATTTTATAAGTAGATTAATACATTGTACAGAATACTGGTTAGAAAGTGACACTAAGGTAGCCACTTTTCAAACTGATTATTGTATTGGGTAGTAATAATAATAAAAATAAAAAGGAAGGTAATGGCAAACACAGCCTTTGGCTCAAGTAAAGAAAATTTTGTCTGCATACCAGAGTAAGGGACTAAAAAAAAAAAAAAAAAAAAAAAAAAAAAAAAGGGAAATTTCAACTTTTCCTGGGAACCTAAATGGTTGTGAAATGTGAAGGTGACAGTTCTACCAGTCATTATGGGAGTACTGAAGAGCTAAGGAAAAGTGTCAGAGGATCTGAAAATTCATTAAGGAGTTGTAACCATACAGATGATGACACAAATGAAAATAGGTAAAAAACTGAAAAAAAAAAAAAAAAAAAAAAAAAAAAAAAAAAAAAAAAAAGTGTTGGAGTAAATAACAGACTTGCTACCAGTCTCCAATGTAGGCCACAAAGTAGGACTGGTAACAAGACTCAGTGAATAATAATGAACCATTTTCATTCAGACTAAGGTCCTCATCTTTGTCATTATCATTTTTCCACCATTATGCTCAAAAACGTTTAAATGTCGGTCAATCCATTTAATCCCCAAGGAATTTCAAACTAAAACCTTTACTTAATATATCACTTTGTTTCCTATGTCTAGGGATAGGTCTTCTAGTTCTTATTTAGTACTGCTCAGTTATTGCCTGCTATTTCTACAGCGTCTAAGTCTGTACTACCCAGACTAGGGATTGAACTCAACAATACTATGCCAATAAATTCACAAACCAATTCTCTAATCCACTAGGGCACTGTACTAAGCAGTACTAGAAAAAAAAAGAAAGAAAAAAAGAAAAGCAATATATGGCCAGCAAACAAGAACAATCTATCACCATAGGATTAAATAAAGTGTTAAGTTCAAAATTCTCTGAAGGTTACCCAGATCAGTAGACACCTAAAGCAATTTGGAATATTGTGATAATGACAAAGATGGAGACATTAGTTGTAAATTATGATGATTGATAATTTAAGAAAACCGGACAAATTATAGGACTGCTACAAAGGTTTCAGTCTAAAGTTTCCTAGAAGTTATATGAGCCAGCAGGCAACTGAAAAACTAAAGGTTACAATGGACAAAACGTAATGATAAGACAAGAACTTTCACCAGGATGCAAATGATAACACATGCTAGAGAGAAAAAAAAAACAGCTAATTAAGATATGGCTCGTAACCAAAAGGCTTCTCATAAATTGAACATGCCAGATCCTTAAATTACTGCAAAGTCACATGAACAGAGAGAACAGGTTAAATCATTTAAAGTCTATCTAAGTAAACAGATTTACCTTCATTCTATTTTAAAACTGTTCAAACTATGCCACCATTAATTAGAAAGAAAAACTGTATTTAAAGGACTGACTGTTGCAGAAGAGAAAGCAAAATTGTTAAACCTTTCTTGGGAAGAAGAAGAGAGAGAAGAAAGAAACAAAAGCCCTTGGTAACTTAAGAGATAGGGTTATTATAATAGAAAAAAAATAAAAAGGAGAAAATGAGTGTTGAGGTAAAGCCAAAATGAAAAATGAAGATAATTGCCTTTAGACACTTTTAAAAAGCAAACACCTTTGCCAGGCACACAGATTTTAATTTGGGCCTATATTGTCACTGAATTGACCTTTCTACCAAGAGTAGAAACAAGGGAGATAAATAAAAAATAAATATGGTTCAATCCAGGAGGAGGAGGAGGAAAAAAACAAAACAATGTACATAATGAAATTGAGAAATGTTTCAATGAATAAATTTACAAAAAATTATGAAGGTGCATCCCCAAGTCCATAGCCTGATGTATGTCAATTAAATTTTTTATCTGTAATTTTCACTATACAATATATTCAATCTGTGATTAATATTCAATACTGTATTGAGTGCATTGAAAAGGAAGGAGATTATGTAGAAAAAATAAATATTTCTTGCATAAAAATAAGGTGTTTTTTTTTTTTTTCTTCACCATTAGACTATGGACTTAGTGATGTACATGCACATATATGAATGAAGGAAAAAATATTTGTTCAAAAACAAATAGAAAATTCTACATTTTGATTCAAAACTGAGATCAGTAGAAACGATGAAACTATTTTCAGATAATGCAGCTACTAATTTACAATAGAGCATAGAATCTTTAGTCAATATCTGAAGCTAATTCAAGTCTTGAGGAGAGGAAAATAAACAAAGAAACAGAAGTAACCCCAAATACAAAACTATCTTAATATCCCAGCAGCCATTTTTGAAATATCTACTGTTTAAAATGCTCAAGACATTACCAGGTATTGCCACTTTGTATCATTGCAAACATTTTTTAAAAATTCTTTCTTGCTTCCGAGACCAAAATTTGGTCTAACTGTTTGGTCTTTGTCCCCATTTGTAAAGGATTTCTTTTTGTGTCCCTAACCTGACACAAATCTCACGTTTTGCTGGCTTCTGCACAAAAACATTTAGTGAAACACAAGCCACATTTTTTTTTTTTTTTTAACAGAGTGAGACTTCTTTGTGAAATGAAAAACTTTAAAGTGAAAAAAGTGGAGAAACATATTATGAAAAACTAGCTTATGGCCTTCAGAGATGAAATAAAACAAGCTAAGAATCTAACTAATATTGACAGAGAAAAAGAAAAAATTCTTTTCTTTAAATAAACTTCATAAGTTTACAAATATCAAAAATGCATTGATCAACCATTACAATATCCACAGCCTTTTTAATGTCTGACTAAAGCCCACACTTAGGGGTCAGCAAAATATTAAATATCTATTTCTTTGAAATTATAAGCTATATAGAACAATTCTGATACTTTAATTTTATACACTTTATACAATTTATATTGTACATATAATATATATAGATATATATTCTTTTTTTTTTTTTTTTTTTTTAAATAGATATATATATACACACACACGCAACCACCCACCCACTCACACAAAGACTTCTAGTCCAGTTAACTTTTAAATAGAACCTTACTTAGCAAGGAATAATTTTTTTTTTTATAAGTGGGCTTGCTGTGCACAAGTTTTATTTATGCAACAGCCTCAAAGTTAATGTAATTTTGTCAAAGTGCTCTGTAGTGGAATTCGATAACAAAATAAAGTAATTTTTTTTTTTTTTAACAAAAGAATAACCTGTGAAATTAGGATGTTTGAGATTGATATACAATCATTCAATAGGCAATGACAAAGCACACATCAGGGTAGAAAGGACATTTTCATATAACCACAGATGAAAGAAATAAAAAGAACAGAGTTCCATTTTTTTTTCTTCTGATGTTTACTTCTCAGTTGCCATGACATTTAATCTTTCAACCGATTACAGAAGAAACCTAACTAAGGTACCACTGTTTTGAGGTACAAGCAAAGATGCATAAAGTATTTATTGAAACATCTTCATTTTATGGGAAAATTTCACACCAACTTGTATTAAATAATAATAAAAAGAATTCATCTAATAATAATCCAATCTTCAAATTAGATGTACTTTGTGAAAACTCATTAAAAACATTTTTTAAACTTCTTGTAGTTTTGAACCCAGCTCCCTTTCTCCAAGTGAATCTGAAGCAACAAGCTGAAAACAATTTGACATTCAAAAATGAATGCTAAATGACTATGCTAAAACTACTTAATCTTATACATTCTACATACATGAACAAGTAACACAAGCAGTTCACAAGAGATCAAATCATTGCTCTTAACATGTGTGCATACAATATAAACATACCACTATATTGCATGGCACAGAAACAGCAATTTGGGGCTTTGGTCATTAAGGCAAAAACCTAGAATATTGTGAAAGACTCCCTTAAAATATTTACCCATTGGGAATGGATGGGTTCAAACCAAACAGTGAAGCTTTGCTACTGAATAAATTTAAGTAATCCCTCTGAACAGATTGTCTGGAGAAGGGCTTTCTCCTAAGATGATATGAACAGGGAAAAAAGTTAAGAAACCACTAGCCTGTATTTTTAAGGTAGATATATATATTTAAAAAAAAAAAAAAAAAAAAAATGCAAGAAAGACAACTCTGAAGGAGCAGACAGACCAAAGCTTTTTTTGAAACCCAAAGCCACATTTTTTTTTTCTTTAATACTTCTTCAGCATATACTTGGCTAGCAATCCAATATCTTTGGTCCCTTTATAAATATTTAAACAATCATTAAACACGTTAATGCTTTGTTTACAAATTGAAATGAACTTTTGAGCTCTGGATCTACCAGAGGCAGTATTTAGAGGGGACAGAAAATTACTTCAATGGAAATTCCTAAAAAAAAAGTGGATGGGTACAATGACAAGAAGAAATACATCTTCAGTATGTATCCATGTACCATTTTCTTTTAGTGCAGTGGGGAGGTGCTGTTTAAGAGGTGGATCCTCAGTCACAAGGTTCGTTTCCAGGGGTTATATTTTGCGTGAAGATAAAAAAATGACCTCTCAGAAACAGTTTAAAATTTCAGTTCATGTTTAGAGATCATCCATCGATTAAAAAATATCTTCCAATGGTATTTGAAGAAAAGATGTGTACCTCCTCTAGGCCTAATGCCTGAAAAACCAAGTATGGCATCCCAATGATCTCCAAGATCATGACACCAATACATTAAAACGACTTAACCAACAGTATTTTTAATTTCATTAGTGGCAACTGTTCACATATAAAATATAAAACAATAGGTGAATTTAAACAATAATCGATTAAGTGAATTTAACAAATCCCAGTAGATTTGTAATGCTAATTTCTAATGATAAAGTAATTCAAGGATATAATAATAAAGTTAAGCAACCCATTATCATATCTTATGAGGGGAGTTGCTGAGAAGATTTCAACCTGACCCACTCCCGCCAAAATTACCAATCTTGGGAAGGCCAAGAATGACTTCACTTAGCAGCCCTTTGTAAGCAAAATAAATTGCAGAATTTATGTTTAAATATGCGGAAAAAAAAAAAAAAATTAACAGAAGCAAATAAAAATTCCCCTTCCAACTTTTCACTTATAGTTAAAAAAAAAAGAAAAAGAAAAAAGAAAGCTTTCAAGGATGCTGAAGACACTAGAAATAAATATATGAGATATACATATATATATATATAAAAAAAAAAAAAAAGCTCCTTTCACAATATGGCATCATTTGATGAATAACCTTACAATTTATAAGAGCTGAAATTTCATTTAAAAAGCATGAACTGATTTGCTTATGGAGATTCTATCAAGTTCAGGCGTCGTGCAGCACTTCCAGCACACACTGGCTGCTTCTCCTGAGTTTGCACATTAGGGTTAGCACGTTTCAGTCCAGCCAGCAAACTTGACTGGGAAGATGACTGATCTAAATTGGGATTAGGCGTGTTACGGTAAAAGGAGCCCGGAGTCGCAAATGTTATGTTCTCTAACACTGAATGGGGTGACTGGAATGACATCTGGCCGCCTGGAGTTGTTGATGGATTATGCATGGTCAGAGGTGTCGGGGTCTTCATCTGTACATTATTACCCTGACCACTTGCGCTGCAGGATGACTGCACAAGCTGCACAGATGCCAGGGTCATGGCAGACTGTTGAGATACAGGGAAGGCAACTAAAGTCTGACTGGGCTGGGAATTGTCAGCAATGCCAATGGTTGGAACAGGTGAAAAAGTAAGAATGTGTGGGCTGGGAAGTTGGTGGATTTTCATGCCACGAGAAGACATAATGTCCGTGTTGGTGTAAGCAAAGCTGTTGGTCACCTGAGCTGGACTAGCTGTGACACTTGCAACGGCCAATAGGGGAAGCTGCATTACAGGATGGGGTGACGTCTGGTTGGTGAGATGGACCAACTTGGGAGTGCCTGGCTGGCTGGCACGAATAGAATGTTTTGATAAGCAACAACTGCAATTGTGTGTGGGCAAGGCAGTCACAACAGGGGCTGATATTGGCTTAAAACATTTATCTTCAATGTCATTTAACTCAGATCCCAAGGGCACAGCCAAGTCATCCTTACCAGGAGCATTTTCCAAAGTCTTGTCACCATCAGCCTTAGCATCTTTATCCACTTGAAATTCAGGCTCTAAATGCAAGACTCTGATGGGTGATTGGCGTTTTCCATTTTCTCCGGTTCCAGTTAGGGGATCATTTGAGGAATCTGCTTCTTGAATCTGGTTTTGCTTAGGAACAGGTTTGGCATTGTCTTCACATTCTGATATGGCAGACAGGGAAGGAGAGTCGGTTTCTTGATTTGCTGTAGGTGATGACTGAGTTGAAGCATCAACCAGAGATGAACCGGAATGAGTGGAGACTGGAACGGGATCCTTCAAAGATTTCAATACCGCTTTCATCTGTTCTGGAGTCAACTGATTGCTTGTAGGTTGCTTTAAAAGAGCACCATGAACCAAAGGCGAAGGTTCAGTTGTCGCAGGTGAAACTTTAGAACCTACTGTGGAAACAGGAACGCTGTGGGTTGCCACAAGTGTGTGCCCTGATGTAAGAGATGGAATACTAACTGGGGTATGAACACCATTGTCGCTCTTTGTCATTGGGGCGGCTGCTGCTAGAGGCAAAGGATGGCCAGGACTGGGAATCACGTGGTATTCATGAATTTCATTGCCCTTCTGCACCCAGATGATTTGTTGTGGATTATCTTTTGGAGTAGAAAAGAACTGTTTCCATTCTGTCGATGAAAAGGAAAAGAAAATGTAAGAAGTCTATTTAAAAGCAAACGGACACATTTAATGAGAGCTATTCCCTCTAAAAAAAAAAAAAAAAAAAAACAAAACAAAAAAAAAAACAGCAACATCAATTTCAAAGCAAATGTCTATTTTCATGAAGCAAAGTGATTCTATTGAATCAATTGTGAGGTCTGCTACCAATTTTTCTAGTCAGAATTCACGTTGCAGATTTATAAATCTAACCATGCTGTCCATGCATCAAATATTACTGCCATACAGAATTTGGTGCTCCGTTTATGCGTATATATTGTGCATTAGAATGTTTCCTCACTGATGTCTATTCTATGGCCATAGTTTTAGGCATCCACAATATCAGGCGCACTTTTCCATTGACCCATTCGAGGAATGATAATTTTTCCATGGCTTCTGCATGATTACAATATAACAATATTTATTTTTCAAAATGAGTACATTTGTAGCACAAGGCTGAAAGGATTAATGGGAGGGAGGTATGGCCAACATACGCTTTGACTAATTTACTACTCAACAATACCAACACATGTGAAAAAAGTAAAGAGAAAATTACTGAAACAAATATCTAATAAACTATGCAAAAATGAAAACAAATCATGGTATAGACTAATAGAATATCCATTCTCACAAAACAGGCATCTCAATTCTCCCCATTATTTTAACAATAGACAGCACTCCCCACAAACCAACAAAAGCCATAACATTATGTGTGTATATATGGCTTATGATGTTTTTTTGTAACAATGTCAAACAGAAGAAAAAGGTATTAATTTATTTTAGCTCTTGAAAAGGTCACCCCCAAACAAATTCAAAAGCTTTATTTTTCAATTTGCTAATGACATAATTGGTTAGTACTTATGTATTTTTTATGCGCTTAACTGTTTATAGCTGTAGCATAGCATACAAATGAAAACAAGTTTGAGAATGCTCAAGAAAGTTATATTCAATTTTAGAAATTTTGTTTTGGGGTGATATAAAAAACAAACAAAAAAACAAAAGAGTTTCTTACGGGGCAAGTTTTTGTCCTTTGTGGGGCTACAAGGCTGTGAGGTAGACAAGGGGCTGGGTTTGATAGAAAACAGTTTGGTCCGTTCTTTTTCAGCCACTTCACAGATGCTGTCAAATGATGCATGCCGAGAGAAAGCCTTCTTGCCATTGCTAGACGTACTGTTTGGTGTAAACATGTCATCTAAATGAGAAAAGAAAAAGATAAAAGGAGGAATAGAATTAAAGTTTTGTCAAATATTTTAATTCCACTGAGTAACTATATATATATATATATATATATATATATATATGAGAGACGAGCTAGCTAATGGGGGCCAGATGAATCTATTCCTGACAATGAATATCTACAAAACTCAAAGTCAGAAGATAAGTTTTTTTTTGTTTTTTAAACTTTATTTAAAATTTATTGTTGGTTATTTATTTTTTTAATGACTTTTTTTCAAAATTCTGCTCACCTTTAAAATGCAGTAAACGGCAGTAATTTAATAGACTGTGTTTTGTTAAGCATTAGTAGTGTGTGTGTGTATATATATATATATATATATATATATATATATATTATACACACACACACACACACCTTTCAGGTTTCTCTGGAAGATAATGCTTTGTAATTATAATACTCAATAAACAAAGAGAGCCTGAACAGTAAGAAAAAGAATGATATGCTCACTTTTCTTGCCCCTAATCTGAGTTTCAGATATGACGAGTGGTTGTAATCTCCATGAAACTGAGTATGATAAGGTATGTGAACATGTTTTATTTTTCATAGATATTATGAAAATTCCACACAAAGCAATCTTGAGTTTTAAGGGATATCTAACAAAGTACACATTGGGGCAGGAAATGTGTGCGAGAACCAAAAACGTATCCACTCCTTTTAAAAATAATTTTCCTTTAGTGACAAAAAAAGCTAACATTACAAGGAGTATTCTTTAACCTGTGCCCCAAATAAATTAGAAAAAAATAAATAAGCAGTTTCAATGTGTTCCTCAACACACATCCTATTGCAGTAAAAAACAGTAAACTCTGTAAATGTAATATGGTGTCTGAAAGCAACACTCACCTTGAGAAGTAACAGACCGGCTAATGGCTTTCTTGCCAGGTTTGTTCAGGATGTGGGCAACTGAAATTAATTATAAAACAAATCAGTTTTGGTTCTAAACAAATTTTACCAAGTTTCAAACACTATATTTCAGCCCTAAACACTGTACCTTATCAAGAACTCTCTTTTGACAGGTGAAAACATTTTTTAATCCTTGATAAAGAATAACAAGCCAGCAAATTTTTCTTAGAAACCAGGAATCATTTTTCTCAAAATCTGTACAAGTTTTGCTGTCAATTGATCAGATAATTGTGCATTTTCTGTCATAAATACCTGGACAGTATGTGTTCTTTTAAATTAGGAATAAGATTATAAAACAGGAATTGTTTGTAAAAAGCATGCATGAAATTTTGTCGAAGAATGTTTTTTGAAGTAGCCTAAAAAGAATAACGGAATTGCAGAGATGAAAAAAAGCATAACGTACTTTCTTGATTTTTAACACAATCTAATAAGGAATGTCTTGAACTGGGCCGGTGACAACCATCTGTACTGCAAACTGAAAAAGAAACCAATAAAAATAAAATGCCCGAAAAGTCATTCAGGAATATTAAATAAGTACAAAAATATGAAAAACATTTAAATTATCAATGTTAATTAAAATATGGATGTGACACAATGTGCCACTCTCAATTGGTTAATTTGGCATATCAACTCCTTATGGGTCATTTAAATGCTGAAATTTTACTTTTGGAAGTGTGAGCGAGAAAGAGTCTGACACACACACACACACACACATATATATATATATATATATATATATATATATATATATATATATATATATAATATTGAAATTGAGATTTGAATAGTGAAATTAGATCAGAGCATTTTGTTTACTAATGGGAAAATCTGATCTAGGGCAGAAGTTGTACCCATTGAATCTTATCATCAGAAGACAATGGAAATGGTCAAAATAATTTTTATCGATTAAAAATTGAAACACAGTTGAGTAAGCTAGAAGGAATTTTGAATTTTTTTTTTGCGAAGTAGTAGGGCTGAGGGTCAGTTATAATCAGCCGGGTTTATCTATATAAATGCGTAGTTATACTGAAAAAGACAGACGGGAGAAAATTCTTGAAAAGAGAATGGGCCTGGGCGAGTGTTGACAGGAGGAACGCCACTATAACTTTAAAAGTAAGATGCTGGAGTTTGAGGGGCTGGGGTGAAAGTGTTAGAGAAGTAATAAAAAAAAAAAAAAAATTTCATTTTCACAATTGAATACATGGTAGATTTGTGCATATACTCATTTGTGTGGACGTGATTATTAGAGGTGGTGATGTGTTTTATGTTGTAGTTATACTTTGGAATACAGTTGATTCAAGAAATTGTCAGATATTACATGGCTTAATGTCATGAAAGAGTTCTCCCATGTTGGTTGATTGGTAGCATTTTAAACAGATTTGGGTGAAGTCGCAACAATTTGTTAGTATGTGCGCATTGTTGATAATTTTTTTTTATATAAAAAATGTATTACTGGTAGTGTCTTATTTGAAGGGTTCACTATTTATTCATAAAAAAAAAAAAAAAAAAAAAAAAAAAACTTGACCAAAAGGCAGAGTCATATTTATAGAGATTTCTTACAGACAAATTTTGCTCATACACCCTTGTGCAAATTAATTGAAACAACTGTTTTAGTTTCCTTTCTTTCACCAGCCCCTTGGAGCAACAGGGTGTAATGAATTTCTATTTTTTCCTCAGATTAGGTCATTTGCAGTGGCGTGCAGAAATATGAATCTATTTTCGGGGTGTATGATGAAATTTGTTTGGCCTTGTAAAATATTGCATCATCTGTGATTGCATCAGATTTTTATCATGCTCAGACACTACTGTCTCAACTGTCAATTAGTTGTCATACAGTCATCGTCTGCGATGGGCATTACTCCAAGGAAGCATACAAAAATTTTAATGCTGCATGAACATACTGGCAAGCCTTACCAGTGAGCAAATCAAAGTACTGTAGACTGGCCCAGAAAGTTTCCAGATTTAAAACCAATTGAGACTGTGGTCAATCTGCAAGGAACGTCTTCGTGGAATGGACATACACAGTACTAACATGTGCACTGGGCCATGTTTCAATGGAAAAAATACAAACAAAACTAAATAACAAAATTATTCGTTTTGTTTCAATTAATTTGCACAATGTAGGTTTGATTACCAAAACAGTAGCAACTTATTTTTATCATTATTATTATAATACTAGCAGTAGAGTCCGGCATGATAGATCCAAGTGTCCACCATCAGAAAGACTGATAAATAAAATTGACAAAGATTATTGTTTAAGGTTGACGGACACGCATGTCTGAATTAGTTGTTTTTTTTTTTTTTTACGAATTGTTCAAACCCAAACTCAAACAAAAACATTGTTTTCAATTGTTGAGTCTCTACCAATTGAATAGAATTTTTTTTATATAAACAATTGTCTTGTAAATGGAATTTTTAAAGCATTCTGAATGTAAAAATAAAGAAAAAAGTGTGCAAGACAATAAGAAACACTACATGCCAAAAAAAAAAAAAAAAAAAAAAAAAAAAAAAAAAAAAAAAAAAAAAAAAAAAAGTGAAGTTTTGTTGAAATGCCTTTCTGTAATCTTTTAGTTTTATAATTTATGATTTTTACTTATTGAATACAGTAAAAGAAAATTGCATATTTTGCTTGTGGTGATTCATAATTAGAATTCTGATTTGAATATATTTTCCACTCGTTTCTAATACAAAAAATATTAACTTTATTTGATCTAACAAATCTTATTCATTTAGTAGCCTCTCTGTAATAATCTTTTACAATTTATGATTTTTACTTATTGAATACAGTAAAAAAATTGAACACCATGTGTATTTAAAGTAGTTTCCCGTTCAGTTATTATTTTAGTTAGGACTTGTGTATGTTTAGATTTCATTATCTTTCCCTAAAGATAAAGAATTTATCCGATGTTTGTATTCGTATAATCAGTAGAGAACGTTAGATTATTGTTTAAGGTTGACGGACACGCATGTCTTAATTAGTTTTTTTTTTTTTTTTTTAACGAATTGGTCAAACCCAAACAAAAACATTGTTTTCAATCGTTATGAGTCTCCCGATTGAATAGAATTTTATTATAAATAATTGTCTTGTAAATGGAATTTTTAAAGCATTGTGAATATTAAAAATAAAGAAAAAAGTGTGTAAGAATAAGAAACACTATCTGCAAAAGAAAAAAGTTTTGTTTTATCAGCTGAAAAATATAAGAAATCTGATCCCATATTTAAAGGAACCCACACACACACACACACAAACAACCCGATGTGAGTTGTCCCCCTTCCATTTTCACAATGTCTCTTAATTGTGTTTTCAAATTGATTTTGTGCAAAAACAATTATATTTTTCCCATTTTTGGCGCTGTTAAAACCACCACAAGGTAATTTTATGTAGTCCTGTGAAGTTTTGTTGAAATCGGTTGAAAAATGTAGGAAATCCGATCCAATATATAAATGTTACAGACACACACACAATCTGCATTTTATAAGTAAGATTCTGATCAGGGCTTGTACTTACTGTTAATGTCAGCTGTATTGTCAATTTCTGGACCAATGTATTTGAATGCTGGCTTTCGACCCCGTATCTCAGTCACATGAACTTTTTTGATGAGATCAAGACTTGTCAGAATGTTTGCAATGTCATAAAGGCGCCGAATTTTAGCTGATGAAATACAAACAGAAACTTGTAAAAATTCAACAAAAAACAAGCTGTAAACATTTTCTAATACTGAATGTAACAGATATATTCGCAAAACTTTGTCTACTTGCTAAGAGAAATTTGAGAACTTAAATCACATCAATGAAAACGTTATAAAAGGAATAACATGTTTGATGGGTGAATTTGAAGAATAGCAGTTAGATTTTTTAAATTCTTTGCACTGTCATAGATTGGTCAATAAGTTATTGTTAGAAAAGAAAGCCTGAAGTTACTTGTTGCTAAGTATATTTTAACATAACAGCCATGTTCACTGTGTTTAGAATAACTTTATTTTCATGTAAATTAATTATGTACAACTGAATGCACTTAGAAAGTAGAAATTTGAACAAGTCTGAATCATCTTAAAATAAACTTACTTATATGGTATGTAAAATATTCACTAAATGTCATATTAGTAAATGTGCAAATTGGTAAACATACAAATCAGGAACGAAATTGTTTAGTTCAAAAAGAAATTATCTTAAGAAATACTCACTTTTGAATTTGGAGTTTTCCGTCTTATCAACTGTCATGTCACCTATGAGGATTTTAGCAGCTAGATCAAGATTGACTGTTTTTGGCTAAATGAACAGAAAGTTAAAATATTCAAACCCATTGAATATACAAAAATTGACACAATTAAAACCAAAAGATATATAAAGAATTTAAAAAAAGGCAGGAAAAAAAAAAAAAAAGGTAAATTAACAAAAGGAAGGATTGCTAATATTTTGAAATATTCGTAAAACTTGAAACACTATCAAAAATAATGCAAATAGCAGATCATATATTCATTCATGGAGGAGGTTTACAAAATTTTGCTGCTTACTCACCTTGAGAACAAGAAACAGCATGAGAAATTTCTGACTCATAATTCCTAAAGATTTCTCCAGAAACTTTGGAATGTTATTAGAAAAGCCTGAAATTGTAAAAATAATATATTTAAAAGAAAGGAGCTTATAACACAATTAAGAGGCATCAATATAAGTGTTGCTGAAAAGCTTCCAGCCTGACAATAGCAAAAATCGGATTTGGTTATATTTTAGGAAGTAGATCAGGCCAAGAACTTTTCCCTGTCTCCTCATGCTTAGATATATGTTTAATTAAATACCCGTGAGTAAATTAATGATATTTTTTCTTTTAATTAACATTATGTGTTCATCTCATCTGGTTTTCTACGTAAAGTAAATGTTAGTTCCAACTTTGACGATCTGCATGTCAAGAGCGCTTTGACCTGACTGAGAAAAAGCTGGCGTTATATAGCTCTCTCTGTCCGAGACCTATGCCGACTATCGGCTAATACCAGCCCAGTATCATGTGTATACAAATTTTGTCAGTGCCACTGACAAAATTTGTATACACATGATACTGGGCTGGTATTATAGCCTTTATCCTAAGTGGAATGTTCTCTCTCAACTGTCAATTGTGGAAGATGATGTAACTTCTGATTCTGTTACATAATCCTAATAACTGTATAAATCAAATTATAAAGCTTACAAAAGAGTAATGGCCAATAAGTCTTGTGAATCATTACACTGTAATGAATGCACACTCCACATTTGTAATCTTGTGCCAACCTACAAGACATTTTTCCTTCTTTCACATTTGCTACCAGTGCTGGATGGCCTCAAAATCTAGGGGGCATTCAGCTTAAGGTGCATCATATATTTTTGAGTCATAGGGCTTTCTTTCTTACACATCCTGTCATAATGCATTGCAGACTCTAAATAACCCTTCAGTAATTTTAAAAACCTTGACTTTACTCAAATTGTTTAATTTAACACACTTCCATTTTTGTCTACTTGTGAGAATGGGGAGATTATGTGGAGCCTCACAAGTGGAATAGCCTAGAACCTCTTTTCATCTAAATCCCGTCATATTTGTTACATTTTGTAAATTTCTGAATAAAATATAACTTATTAGTCACCCATATTGTCTAAAACAACAGCATTTAAAATAGATTTTTCAAAATCTATTGGCATGTTCTGCTCCATCAGAGTTGGACATGACACTACCCAGTTTACCTTTATCTTAAAAAAAAAAAATCTACCATTGCCATAAAATATTGCTAGTGCAAGGAAGATATAGAAAAACAAATAGTACAAGGAAAGGTGGAAGGAAGAAATAGATGCCATAAAAAACCAGAACCATTTTAATAATAAATTTCTGGACTTGATTAATTGTAAGTAACTGTATGGTGACTTTATTGCCATCCTGTGTGTGTGTGTATATATATTTTAAGACATTTTTTTTGTTTATACATTCGGTATCTAGCCACCCCCACACGAGGGTTGCATGTGGCACAAGGCCGAGTTTATCGTGGGTTTCCCGAGCCTGTAGGCTCAGCCAAAAAATGCCCGTATAACTGAGATCGGGTTGGTCATTCTCTCCGAACGAGATTCTGCCCTTCGGCGGAACCTCGTCCGGGTTCCTTTCTGCTCAGAGGCAGAGAGTTCGACCGTCAAGTCGAGAAGCTCGGCTTGATTCTTGATTTTTGTTTATACATTCTTTTTATAACTGTCGAACTTTGTCCATTTTTGTGAGAGAGAGAGAGAGAGAGAGAGACTCGTGTAATAATAATTTTTTTTTTTTTCAACCTCAATTATTTGTAGTATTTTATTACCTTGTTCTGAATCCAGATCAAAATGACATTTATCAGTAAAGGGATAAGGTTGAAAATTATCATCCAAGTCTTTTTTGCGTTCATATTCTTTGATCTTATTCATCTGTTCTTGAAAGCCTTCTCGTTCTGCCAATGCCTGAAATTATAAAAAACAAAAAAACAATTTGTAGTCTGGTTGCACCACACACCCATCGCAAACCATTCATGAATGCAAAAGGTTCACCCAATTCAGGACAAAATAAAGCTAAATGCTCACAATAATTACAACTAGAAACTTGATATCTCAAATTAAATTAAGGAGAAAGCAAAAACATTTATAACCTACAATATCAATCAAATCCTAAGATATCTCCAAACCATTTCATTAGATTACAAACTTAACCACAACAAAATTTTCAGTAACAATCTGGTTGGGCCAAGTTTTCCCACCCTTAACACTTCTATTGAGAATGTTGGTAATCAGTACTGCACCCAATATTTTTTAAATAAACATTTACAACCATGTATCATGGCATAGCAGTTATTAGCACAGAAACAGGGATCAGCATGCAAAATTCAAATTTCACCCAAGGTTGTTGCATTCAGTTTCCAAGGAACCTTAAGGAAGGTATAAATCAATTCCTACTACCATAGCTATGAATTAAATAGGACAGACTGATATTTAGCATTGTTTGGCAACCAGTCTCAGAGAGACAAAACTGGACATGGAGTTGGCATCTCAACCTCATAAAAAGCCTACACCATTGAGCAAATTAATTGAAACAACCCCTTTAGTTTCCTTTCTTTCACCATATGGTCAGTTTTAGACACACAATGCAGTGGTGCGCAGTAATATAAACATATTTGCAAGGTGTATGATGAAATTTGTTTGGCCATGAAAAATATTGATTCATCCATGACTACAGATTTTTATCACACCCAGACACTATTGTCTGTGATGGACATTACTCCAAGGAAGCATACAAAAATTGTAACATTGCACAAACACACTGGCAAGTCTTACAGTGAGCAAATCAAAGTACTATGGACTGGCCTGGAAACTAAAATCAATCGAGAATCTGTGATCAACCTGCAAGGAACAACTTTGTGGAATGGACATACAAAGTACTAACATGCGCACTGGGCCTTGTTTCATTGGAAAAAAAATGAAAATAAAGTAAATAACGGAATTATTTTTTGTTTCAATTAACTTGCACAAGGGTGTATTTGCCACAGAAATGACAGCAGCAATGCCCAAGGTTGTGAGGCTATGGCTCTATATTCCATGGAGAGTCTATTTGCACTAAGAAGGGGGTGGGATACAGGATGCAAAAGGAGAATTTAAAGAAAAAAAAAAAAAAAAAAAAAGACAAACAAATAAAATTATACAATTAGAACTGTCAAAGCATATCTTCCAATTAGCACCTAAATTATTGCAATACAATTAACCAAGCTGTTTAGGGTCCATAAATATATTGTTTGACAGTAGAATTCCAGAAAGCAAGGATATGAAAATTTAACTACTCATCCCAATCAAATTATTAGAACATTAAATACAAGAAATTGGCAGCTATGTAAAAGATGTGAAAATGCTCACAACTCACCTTCAATTTAGCTAGTGTGTTACATAAATTAGTTTTGCCATGCCAAGCATATTTGTTTTTAGCCACACGACTTACAATCTCCACACTTTCCAAAACATTCACAATATCATAGATTCGACGCCTTTCAACAGCTGCAAAATAAAATTAAGGCAATCAACCTTATGGCATTTTATTCAAAGGATAAGGATAAGGAGAAGAGAGTGTGGGAGGATAGAAAACTTATTTAAGAGTCAAAACTTGGCCCAGGTATATAGAACAGAATTCTAACTAACCATTTATTTGGGAATTTTTTTTTTTTTTTTAATTGTCAGGACATCGACATATAATTAGCATTTTGGCCATTGAAAGAAAGAAAATACTCAAAAGTTTAAGACAGCAGCTTTGAAAGCATTATTCTATTTGTGCATCCCAAAAGTACATGCAAGTTATGACAAAGATGCAAATCAAAGCAATGCATTCAGCAGGGGGTGGCCAAGCTTGCTTAATGTAAGAGCAACTGTTAATTTGTATTGATTTCAGTAATCACAAAATACACATATATACCAAATGTTTTCAAAATCTTGACTGATGATTGTTTTAACCATATTGAACACATTTAATATGGTAATGAACTACGGAAATTTACCTTTTATATTAACTGTGATGAAAAAAGGAGCTTGGCCAACATAATTCCACAAGCCTCATATTAAAGTTCAAAAAGTTGCATGTAGCTCACAAGCCAGGGTTTGGCCACCCATGGTATAGACCAACAAATCAGGATATGACAAATGATTACTTTGCAGAGTTTATATGGAATCAAAGACACAGAATTTTACCATTTTTAGCATCAAATCACCAGACTTATATCCTATTTAATATTATTCGTTCTTGAACTTACCTAACGGGCTTATGTAAATGAGTGGCAGAACAGGTATTAGGATAGATAGCAAAATGACAAAGTGTACAAAGGACAGTAAATATTGGAAAGCCATGATTGTCCACATCCTGAAGGAACATATACAAGAAGTGGCAAAGATGCAAATCAAATACCAAAAGCAGGGATCAACAAATTGTGATATGATGGATGATTACTTTGCAGAGTTTTATGTGCAATAAGAGATTCAAAATTTTACCATCTTTGGCATCAGATCACCATGAATTTATATTGTATTTAACATTATTAGGTTTTCAATTTGTATTAAATTGAAAGCCACATTATTGATGACAATTTTCTTGATTGAAAATAATAGTTTCCAGATATTCAATTTAAATGTCATGATGAAAATTTTAATTCATGGGATGTAAATAGTGTTTAGAGGTGTGGGGATCAAAATTGTGTCATTATGATTAAAAGAATTAATCTCCTTATCAAAGATGAACTACAAAAACTAAAAAAATAAATAATTTACACCAATTTGGAATGAAAAAAGTAAATAAAAATTAAAAACAAACAACTTTACTAACCAAGGTCTCTAGCAACTTCATCCAAAGATATGTCAATGCCTGCATTCTGGTCGGGATAATTGGGATATTTTGCCAAAAATCTAGATAAAAATGAAATTTATAGTTGTACCATAAACTAATAAAAGCAGATATATTAAAAAGGGCATACATAGCAAAGAAGAAACAATTCTTAAAAAGAGAGACATATATTACAAAAATATATAACATTTAAAAACAGCTAAACTGGTTTATCAGTCACCTTTAACTGAAGTAGCAATAATAATAATAATAAAAAAAAAAAAAAAGAAAAAAAAAAGAGTACACAGTAAATAGAAAAATATACAACAGGAGTGGTTGCTAGGTTTAAAGGTAATTAACCTTTAATCTTATAATTTTTCGTTTGTATATATCATTAGTATGGGCTTATTGTTATATTTTGGTATTACCAATTTATGGTAAGATTTTTTGTTTTTCCTTTTTTTTTTTTTATATGAAATCCCTTTTAATATGTCTGCTGTTATTGTCCTAATAAAACTAGTTCGTATTAAACAAAAACAAAAAAAAAAAGAAAAGAAAGAAAGAACAGTTAGTTTCTTTTTATATAATGAAATAATTTTGCATCAAATGGTAAACACTTATCTAATCCATCCTCTGAAGGCATTGGCCATATACAACTGTGTGCAAGCAAATCTAATTAGTCATTACCACATTGTTTTTTTATATGCTCTTAAATAATGAACTTTATTTACAACTGCTATTTTTAATTACAAGTTACATCATTTTGTGAGCTGCAAGACACAGCAATACTCGCAGCATAAATGTATCCATTCATTTTGTAGATAAAAAGAATTTGCTTTATGTAACATATCTGAATGACCCTTGAGAATTGTTTTACTTTTTATTATTACTTAAAAAAAAAATTTCTTAAACATCAAAGAAATTCTTGTCTACTTCCAAAAATCTGACCAAACATTAAAATAATTGAGAAACCTTTCTTGATTGTGTGAAAAACTTTTCATCACCCAACTTACATGTTTAAGTAGTCCAAACATTCAAAAATGAAAACTTATGAAATTTCATCCATTCTAAACTGTCTTGATGCAATGTCACCAGTCTAATCATTGAATAGAACTGACATATTCTACTGAAATTGCCAGATATTGAGAACACATAACAGACAATAGTAACAGCTAAAATGGACAAAGAAACATTTTTATACAAATTCTACAAACCTTCAAAGAATTTTCAATCCACAAAAAGCAGATAATAAACCTGTTATTTCATACCTGCCAAGTTGTATTAGAAAATTATCTGATTTCTCTTCCATTAGAAGTTTTCTTGAGACTTAATTCCACCCCATCCCCTTCAGCTTTCAAATTATATTTTTCTATCAAAGTTTTCATATAAGAAAATGATTCTATTTGCACATTAAATTATAGAATCCAGCAATACTCAATGTTTTTTAACATTAGGTATAGCAAAATAACAATGAAAAAGATAAAAATCTCATGTTCAGCAGGAGAATGAGATTATAAGTGATGACAAAAGGAAAACTATTCTACACCTATGCATTTCATCCTCAGGACTTTATCAAGGCAAATGTAAGGATTTGATTTTGCAATATGTATTTATAAACAAAATTAAAAACAGCAAATTTTGATAATTTTTATTTTGACTTCCATTTATGAATACATGTTGCAAAATCAAATCATTACATTTTCCTTCACAAAGTCCATCCAAGGATGAAATGCATTGGTAAAGAATAGTTTTACAGCTCTTATATATATATATATATACACACACACACTTAATAGCTCTGCTATATAACATTGAGCACTTGTTTTTATAATAGCTGAGAAAATATATATGTACATGCAAATATATATGCATATACATGTTTTTTATCATATCTACATCTTTATATACATTTCAAATCATATGATCTTAGTCAGGCTGACAAAAAAAGAGAAGAAAGAAAGAAAGAGAGCTAGAGAGAGAGAGAGAGAAATAAAGATAGTGAGAGAGGTAATGGTATCCACTTACTTTTGGCATAAGAGTCCCAAAGATTTCTCTTTTCGTGAACCAGTGGTAAGCATTTTATTTGATTCTGCATCTAAGATCAAATTGGAATCAGAAAAATGATGTTTTGGAGAAGGAACGTCATCATCCTCTATCTGACTGGAGATGCATTGTCGGCATTTGTTTGTCTCTTCTCTCAGTTGATCCCTTCGACGCAATTCAGGGCTCACTGCACTGAATAACATCTTCAAGTTTGCTGTAGGAGTGAGAGGAGGTTCAAAGTGTTCATTCATCGATTTTTTCTTTGGGGTAACAGATTGTGTTTCACAGACATTGGCTAAGTAAGACAGATTGTTGCAAGATCCATCAGTATTTTGGCTCTCAGCTGAGAGGCGTCTTTTCCTTGGAGACTGGAACTTAGGACTGATGCAGTTCTCTTTGTCCTGAACATGTCTCTGGCTACATAGACGCACTCTTTCTATGACATTATGCTTAGAGATGACAGATGAATTGAAGGAAGCTTCTAACTGTTCGTTTGTAGATTTTTTCTTTGGGGTCACTGATTGAGTTTCACAGACATTAGCTAAACAAGATAGATAGTCTGCAGCTCCATTGGTGCTGTGGTTATCCGTTGAATGAGCTTTTTTTGGAGATTTTGGACTAAAAGAATGTTTGTTCTCTTCCTTATTCGTATCATTAGCATCTGCTGAACCAACGGTGTCATTGTGATGAATATTTTCTACAAGAGGCAATCTCTTGCTATAACTTAGTGTTTCATCAAAATCCTCCAAGTCCCGTTTACCCGAGAGAACAAGGGCCATTTCTGTAAACAGAAATATTTAATTTTATTAAAAATTATTAAAGATGAAGATCTTTTTCAACTCAATAACTGATGTTTCAAGGTTTGGTAAAAAGAAAAATGCCAATATATCTGTTTGATTACAGAAAACAAGACTTCGATTATGATCCAAGAAATAATTAATCGCATCAACGAACAAGACCCCCCCACCCCATATAAAGAATTAATGGATTTATTTTTAAGCCAACATTTTTATTATTTCAAACATTATTATAATGGCTTCTCATATTTTCTTTATTAGGATGTCTTGAACGTGCAATACACACCATTAAAAATAAAAAATAAATAAATAATGGAGTGTCTACCTATTAAATAATTGAATAGCTGAAACCTCCTGATGAGGGGACCAAACAATTACAAAAAAGTCCTCAAAACAGTCATAGTGTTGAATATAACAAATCAGCTAAGTGACAAATTTTATCTGTATTAATCCTATATCTCCATTGCCTCTCTTGCAAACTCCCACTGGTGGACAGCATTATACTACTTTTTATTGCTATATATATATATATATACATTACTACAAATGTTATTTAGTTTTAGTAGATACCCATGTTTGTGCAGATGTCCCCATTTTTTTTTTTAATATAGTATGAATTACACTTATTGGCTATGGCATCTGAGAGACCAAATAAATAATGTGCTCTCCAACAGGGCAAAAACTTGCATCCCCTTCAAAGCATGGGGCCCAGTTTTGCATCCTACCATGTCCGATTTGTAAGTGAGGTGATGAAATCTCAGTGTACAGCAGTTGGGAAGTGTCTGATGAAAACCATACAAAGGGTTGATCCAAACCTTGTGAGTGGAATTGGGTAGCCTTCAATGGTTATGCTAGTGCAAAGTTACAAGTCATTGTGACCAAGATTTTGTGAGTGTACCGCCATTGTTCAAACCGATGATCACACCAGATTATGCACTATCTCCCAGAGACTAGTCGCAGCATAAGCTCTGAGTGTGAAAAAAACAAACAAACCCACAAATGTGCCTAGCCAAGCATCTACGACAGGGGCAGATGGATGTACTCAGAAACGAGTAGCCATTATTACACAATACAGACTCGTATTAATGGTTGCAATAGCAACCTTAAATGTTATTAGAGAGAAAACCTTAGATTAAATTCAAATGAATATTTTGAGACTTGAAAATTTATACACTGGAGAATTGGAGAACTATTTTTTTCCATCCTTGGGTGGACATTGGTAGTATCTTTCCAAATTATATTTAAATGACAATAGTTGCAGCTAATACAATAGTTGAGTGAAAACCAATTACAATTCTAGTTTCGACTTACCATTGGAGACAAGGTAAGTTATTTCATTGTCTGTTGGAACATTTTAGAAAGAGAAAAAAAAAATCAGCAACAGACAATAAAAGGTTTTTTATATTATTTATTACAATTTACATGCAGACTATTATTGCCCTCTGTTAGTTATCACAATGTTTCGGCTGTTGAACCATCTGGCCGTTTTCAGGTGTATGTTGATCAGAGTAAGCAACAGGTAAAACTTTGAACACTTTCCGGAGTAGTAGACTGTTCTCGAACCACTATTCATGTCTACGGATATTTTGTCTAGGTAGTTATGCTTTTAAATACTTCTGTTATTGCTTGCCCTGTTTCCAAGTACACACTGCTCAGCCCAGGGATTGAACTCATAGTTAAGCTATTTTATGTCACCAAATTCAAGAACTAGCATTTTAAGTCACTATGCTAGAGAGAACGATTTTTTCTTTTTACAAATTCTACAAAGCAATTGTTCTGATCAAATAATTATCCTCCTCATCAATTTATTCAAGATGATTATTATAAAACTGAATGCCTGTTTGTTAAATTCGGAATTGGACTTCCAAAAAACATTTAAATATCAATTTATTGAATGCCAATTGAATAAATTTTGATAGTCTTAATCCAAATAACTACAAATTTAATTTAAATAACACTTATGAGTTTTCTTTCATCAAACAACCAAGTTTAAAGAAAACTTGGTTGAATTTATTTCAGGATAAAAGCTTGTATTTAATAATCCTTAAAAAATAAAATCTTTTTCCATTTTAGATTTTCAATGAATTATTCTGTGAATTAAATAAAAAATTTTAGCTACTGAACCAGGAATAATTTTAAGTTTTTTTTAAAGGAATTGTGAAAGGTTTGGGTAAACCAAAAAGTTACTTAAGTTAAATGATTTATTTTATAATAATTTCAGAAATTAAAACCAATTGTTTCAAAAAATGCTCTGAAAAAAGTTATTTACAATATCACCTAACATATTTCATAATTTTAGTACGATTATTTAAGTTCTTGAAAATTAATTAAATAGTACATTTTCAAATAATTTGTATCTAATTTTATAAAATTTAAAATCCCCCCCACTCAGAAATTCAGGGAAAAAATGTTTAAATGGTGGAAGAGTGACGCTGGGTTCATCAAAATATTTTAAATTTCTAATAAACCAATAAAAATATCAATATAATCAATAACGCCAAGGAGCGATATTAAAATAGCAAAATCGTTAGGAATAAAATACAATCCGCGCCAATAACAAATCAACAAGTTTATTTTCTTCATCCATTTCGAGCGAAAAGCGCCAAATGAAGACCTGGTCAAAAATCCTAAGATCTTGCCACACCCCAAAAACAATAACTGGAGCATTTTTATATAAATATATTTTTTAAAAAATTGTTTAGGCACATTAATTAATAGCTGTTAAAAAAAAAAAAAAAAAAAAAATTTAATCCGATAAGAAAAAAAAAGAAGTTAATCCATTGTAGGGAAAAAGACAGAAAAATAGGAAAAACAAAACGAACGCAAGGATTAAAAAAAAAGTGGACGAAATTATTGGCGGTTAAGTGGCGATAAGATAAGATTTCATTTTTTTTTTTTTTTATTTAAATTTTATTGTATATAATATATATTATTATTATTATATCTTAAAAAATATAAACAATATTTGGAAAGAAAAAATGCTCACTCAGGGGAAATCCAGAAAAAAAATTCCATGTAAATTTATTGTAATTATTGCATATGACACTTCATGAGATGGAGGTTAAAAAAAAGGGTTCGTTTGTTGCTATTTTACTCCAAGATAATTAAATAAAGATTATCTTTTTGGAGGAAAAGCAAGCGAATAGATTAAAAAAGTAAGGAAAATGTTCTACTTTATAAATTGTATAATATAATAGTTGTGCAAAATAATTTATTTTCTTCTTAAAAGAAGCGAGTCATCTTCTTCCCCCGCCTTTTTCTTCACCCTCCGTCCAGTTCGCCCAAACATGTTTCATCAAGACTTATTATAAAAGTCTCAATAAATAATTATGTAATTGTAATAAGTACCAACTACTGGTTAAGAAACAAGTAAAAATATCTATTTGTTAAAAATTTGAACACCGATATAAAAAAAAATAATTTAATTTTGACAATTTTTTCCCCCAAATTTACAAAAAAAAAAAAAAAAAAAAGTTATTAGTTAAAAAACAAAAAACAAAAAAAAACTAGATCTAATTTTAAAATAAAATACTGATATAATTATTTTTATTTGAAAATAAAAATTAAATAAGCTATAAATAAATTAAATATTTTCATATATTTAAAAAGTCTGGGAAAAAATTTAATGCCAAGAGGAAGGTAAATTTGGCGCTAAACCTCACCTGGCAAATTCTACGTTTTTTTTGTTTTTTGTTTTTTAAGAGTTTGAAAAAAAAAAAAAAAAAAAATGCATGGGATTCACATATTTTTTGAATGTCAGCAAAAATGCTTCAACAAATAAACAGAAACTATTCCCACAAAAAGTTACTGGTTTTTTATTCATTGGGGAAAACAAAGTGCGATCCGTCAGAAAAATTAAAAACAAGTATTATTTTGCTTTAAAAAAAAAGAAAAGAAAAAAAGTTAAGCTCTTTATTTTTCTTAAAATCGACGAAATATAGAAAAAAATACAATAAAAATGCCAACTAGAAACATTTCTGATCATCGTTAATTACTGTGATTAAAAGTTAAATTTACAAAAGTCAACAAAATCGTATGATCGACCTGAAAAATAAATTTGAAATTTTCAAAATATTGAAACATTTTCAATTCAGAAATCCTAATGTAAAATGAAAAGTATTTTTAAAATCAAGACTGATACAAATAATATACATGAGAATAATTTGACATCTTAATAGTTTTAAAGTTTAAAAAAAATCTAACAGCTCATCTTTAACCGCCAACGTTACAAGGCGGTCTCTTCACTAATGACATTTTTTTTAAAATAATACTTACTATAATTATAATGTTAGCTTTACGATTTTAAATAATTATTTATGATCTGATAATATATAAGAATTTAAAGATAGAAAAATTTATATAGGAATAATTTTGAATTGGTATGGTATTAAAAAAACAAAAAAAAAACCTGAGGGTAAGGTACTTTTTCTTCAGAGAAAAGTTTTTAAAAGAAACAAAACATACCTACCGATTAACTTAAAAACACCACCTTGTTTGATAAACACAAAAGATTCTGCATAAACAAAGTCCGGATTTGAGATGAAGGAAGAATATAAGTGTGGATAAAAATCAAATAAATCGATGATATGAAACCATTCCAGCAGTAGATGAGGTTCAACTTACTATTGACTAATTTTTCTTTTCCTCTTAGCCTCACCAACAACCCGCCTCATCAGAAACTCATTTGGAATTTGGCGCGCAGCGTCTTAATATAGATCAGGGACATTAAGCCCCGCCCCTCTGACATGGGACAAATCAAGACGCCCAGTTTTGATGATTGACAGGGTGAATGCAACCCGTTAACCAATCGGTGTCGATCAGAAATGAATTAGATTGCAAAGGTCACATCGTGTGTTTCGATGTATTTATCACAGAGGTTGTTTTTTTTTTTTTTTCGATCGTAAATTTTTGAAGATTTAATCTTCGTTTTACTACTACTACGACCATTATTATTATTATTATTATTTTTAGTAGTAGTAATT